TAAATTAAGAGGTGAGCGGCCATAACGTGAGTTTCTCTGGACCAGACGACCCAACCCTGCTGCTTGGATGGATCAAGGTAAAGAGTGAGATCAGGGTGTGACTTGCGGATAGAAGGTCGTTAATTTTCTGAATGAATCACCTCGTCACAGCCTTAATGAGGCTACTTTAGAAAGCTGTAGGTAATACCACGGCGCTGAGGTTAGCTTCCGGACCCCTTGGAGGAGAGGCTGCAAGCAAGGTGCTTATCACTAACCCAGTGGTTACCTTGCTTATGGGAAAGCAAGACAATGTATAACGTCTTTTTATGTTGCTTTGCTGTGGTAGGTTTTTTTAATGCCTTAAATTGTGCCCTGTCTAGGACACGGTGTGAAAGATCTTTTTAATACAGTCTCTCCTCATGTTTTCTTTCCTTTTATTATCTAAGCAAAATATTATTCTGAATAAGAATAAGAAGGCCGCGCTAATTATTTATAGCCGCAGCTTCGTGCACTCCGCCCATCTTCGGACGACTGTATGTACATATTCGCGCTGTATCTCGGTGCAATGCCAATAAAGTTTATTCTGATTAAAGAGATAAATTCTCTGATTTTGGTAATATTCCTAATAAAAAAAACCCCCACTGTTTTAGTGATGTTCTTAAAATGTTTAGAAAAACTAAGATCAGAATCAAAGGCTACCCCCAAATTTCTGGCTTCACGAGTGTATTTAAAACCAAGAACAGAAACGGAATGAACTACTAAATCCCTTTTGGCCTTGGGTCCAAACACTATCACCTCAGTTTTATTGTTGTTGAGTGAAAGAAAATTATCAGACATCCAGGTTTTAATGTCTGTAAGACATAGGGTAAGTTTATTGAGAGTAGAGAGGTCTGATGAGTTAATAGCCAAATAAATTTGGGAATCATCTGCATAAAAATGAAAAGAAACATTGAATTTATGAATAACCTGACCAAGTGGTAGCATATAAATAGAAAATAATAGTGGCCCAAGAATAGACCCTTGGGGGACACCACAGGTGAAAGAAGCTGAACTGGAGGAATTATTGACAGAAATTACTGAAAAAGTTCTGTCATGAAGATAAGATTTGAACCACCTCAGAGCAATGTCTCTAACACCTAACCAATAAGTTAGTCGGCTCAGTAGAACATTATGATCAACAACATTATCATCAACTGTATCAAACGCAGCAGAAAGATCTAGGAGCACCAAGACAGTACAACAGCCAGCATCTGAGTTCATCCTAATATCATTCACAACTTTTAATAATGCGGTTTCTGTACTGTGATATTGACGAAAGTCGACTGAAACTTTTCAAAAAGTGAGTTTTGGTTTAAATAAGTTAAGATCTAAGATTACACCATTTTCTCTAAAATGTTCACAATAAAGGGTAATTTTGGCCTAAAGTTGTTAAAATCATTGCAATCCAGGTTGGATTTCTTCAATAATGGTTCAACAGCAGTTGTTTTAAACATTTTGGAAACTACCCCTGTAGATAATGATTTGTTAAAAACTGTTGGAATATCATAAATTAAAAACTGACAAATGTCCTTAAAAATGTTGTTGGTAAAATATCTAAAAAAGAGGAAGAAGGTTTCATACATTTGATAGTCCTTACTAACTCAGCCTGAGATAAGAGGTTAAATGAATTAAAAAAGTGATTTACTTTCTCATGCTGAATAGTAGAGGCAGATGGCACAATTTGAGTATAATTGATTTGTAAGTTATGATGGAAAATAAGTATTTGGTCATTAACAAAGAAGTTCAACTCAATACTTTGTAACATCACCTTTGTTGGCAATGACAGAGGTCCAACATTTCCTGTAAGTCTTCACAAGGTTTGCACATGTTGTAGCTGGTATTTTGGCCCATTCCGCCATGCAGATCTCCTCTAGAGTAATGATGTTTTGGAGCTGTCACTGGGCAACACCATCTTTCAACTGCCTCCACAAATTTTCCATGGGATTGAGGTCTGGAGACTGGCTAGGCCACTCCAGGACCTTGAAATGCTTTTTACAGAGTCACTCCTTCATTGCCCGAGTGGTGTGTTTGGGATCATTGTCATGATGGAAGACCCAGCTACATTCCATCTTCAATGCTCTCACTGATGGAAGTAGGTTTTGGCTTAAAATCTTATGATACCATGGCCCCATTCATTCTTCCCTTAACATGGATCAGTCTTCCTGCCCCCTTTGCACAAAAGCAGCCCCAAAGCATGATGTTTCCATCCCCATGCTTTATAATAGGTATGACATTCTGGGAATGCAACTCAGCATTCTTCTTCCTCCAAACATGACGAGTTGAGTTTTTCCCAAAAAGTTTTATTTTGGTTTCATCTGACCACATAATATTCTCCCAATCCTCTTCTGGATCATCCATTTGCTCTCTGGCAAACTTCAGACAAACCTGGACATGTACTGGTTTAAACAGGGGGGCACGCCTGCCACTGCAGGATTTGAGTCCCTCTTTGCGTAGTATGTAGCCTTTATTACTTTGATCCTAGCTCTCTGCAGGTCATTCATCAGGTCCCTCTGTGTAGTTCTAGGATTTTTCCACACCGTCCTCATGATAATTTTGACCACAGGGGATTAGATTTTGCGTGGGGCCCCAAATTGAGGGAGATTATCAATGGTCTTGTATGTCTTTCATTTTCTTACAATATCTCCCACAGTTGATTTATTCACACCAACCTTCTTGCCTATTATAGATTCACTCTTCCCAGCCTGGTGCAGGTCTACAATTTTCTTCATGGTGCCCTTTGAGAGCTCTTTGGTATTGGCCATGGTTGAGTTTGGAGTCTGATTGAGGCTGTGGACTGAGGCTGTGGACAGGTGTCTTTTATACACATAACAAGGTCAAACTGGTCCATTCATACAGGTAATGATTGAACAACAGAAGAGCTTCTTAAAGAAGAAGTTACAGGTCTGTGAGAGCCAGAAATCTTGCTTGTTTGTTATTGACCAAATACTTATTTTCCACCATAATTTAAATTATTTAAAAATCCTACAATGTGATTTCCTGGATTATTTTTCCTAATTTTGGCTCTCATGGTTGAAGTGGACCTATGATGAAAATAACAGGCCTCTCTCATCTTTCTAAGTAGGAGAACTTGCACAATCAGTGGCTGACTAAATACTTTTTTGCCCCACTGTTTATACACTGCTCAAAAAATAAAGAGAACACCTAAGCAAAACAATGTAACTCCAAATCAGTCACACCTTTGTGGAATCACTGTCACCAGTTAGGTAGTAACACTTATTGTGAATCAATTTCACCTGCTGCTGTGCAAATGGAACACACAACAGGTGGAATGAGAGGCAATTAGCAAGACAACCCCTATAAAAGAGTGATTCTGCATGTGGTGACCACAGGTTATTTCTCTGTTCTCGTCCTTTCTGGTTGAACTTTGTCACTTTTTCATTTTGTCAGTTCTGTCACACATAGAGGTATCATTAGGTGTTTTTTACAGCCCACTGAATTTGCTCAAATAGTGCAGCTAATCCAAGATGGAACATCAATACAAGTGGTGGCAAGAAGATTAGCTATGTCTTTCAGCACAGTTTCCAGAGCACGGAATATATACCAAGAGACAGGCCAGTACACCAGGAGACATGGAGGGGAATGTAGGAGGGTTACAACCCAGCAGCAGGACCGCTACCTAGTCCTTTGTGCAAGGAGGAACAGGAGGTCCACTGCCAGGGACCTACAAAATGACCTCCAGCAGTCCACTAATGTGCATGCTTCCACTCAAACTGTCAGAAACAGACTCCATGAGGGTGGTATGAGGGCCCGACTCCACATATAGGGGCTGTGCTTACAGCCCAACACCGAGCAGGATGATTGGCTTTTGCTAGGGAACATCAATATTGGCAGATTCACCATTGGCGCCCTGTGCTCTTCACGGATGAAAGCAAGTTCACACTGAACACAAGTGACAGACATGACAGAGTCTGGAGACACCGTGGAGAACATTATGCTGCCTGCAACATCCTCCAGCATGACTGGTTTGGTGGTGGGCCAGTCATGGTGTGGGAAGGCAGTTCTTTGGATGGCCTCACAGCCCTCCATGTGGTAGCCAGAGGTGCCCTGGCTCCCAACAACGCCTGGGCATGCTCCTGATGAGATGGCGGATGTTCCCCTGAGGGATCTTTTCCCAGCCCTGGATTAGAGCACCAGTTAGCTCCTAAACAGTCTGTGGTGTGATGTGGCCTTGGTGGATTGACTGAAACATGGTGTCCCAGATGTGCTCAATTGGATTCAGGTCAGGGGAACAGGCAGGCCAGCCCATAACATCAATGTCCTCAAGAACTGCTGACACACTTCAGCCACATGAGGCCTAGCATTGTCATGCATAAGAAGGACCCCAAGGCCCACTGCACCAGCATATGGTCTCACAGTGGGTCTGAGGATCTCATCCTCGTACCTAATGACAGGTTATACAGGCACATGGAGGCCACACACACTACCGAGCCTCATTTAGACTTGTCTGGAGGAATATTCACTGATGTTGAATCAGCCTGTCATGTTATTTTCCACTTTCATATTGAGTATGAATCCAAATCCAGATCTCCATGGTGTAATAATTTTGATTTACATTGATAATGTTTGTGTTATTTCCTTCTCAATCAATTTCACTGTACTGATAACAAAGTTTGTCAATGAGAATATTTAATTAATTGAGGTCTAGGATGTTATTTTACAGTTCCCTTTAATTTTGTGAGCAGTGTATAATTCACAAAGCTAAAGCCTTTTTTTGTTTCGGAAAGTCAGCTGTGATGCCATCTTATAGTTTTTGACTGCAACATTTACTGAACTACATAAATAAAACCAGAAACCAGAATTGTTTAAGATTTGTAATTTTGTTATGAAAATGTAAAAAAGATTATTCAAAGCTTTCCCACTAACTTCTTGTTTGAATTCCAGTAAGAGTGTTTAATGAAAAGGCCATTGTTGGTATACAAATTCACACATTAAAGCATTAATCTTCTACAACAAAGTCTTACCTGCGCTTGGTTATCAGGAACAGATTGTTAAAAAGGAACAAATAGACTGGTTGGTGGAGCTTAGGTTTTCGGGTGGTCCTGGTGCTCTTTGGTCCAGTCATGAGTTGCACTTCACCTTTTTTTACCAACCAGCGAGAGTGTGAAATGATGGGCACAGACTAGGAGGTAGAAAAATAAATAAATTAAAAGACATAGAGACATATACTAGACATAAGCAAGGAGTACAGGTATTGCATGTAGATTCATCAAGTCAACCATCCAGAGTAAAAAACAGTGAATAAAAGAGGTGAAGAAGAGGGTGCTGGCAGGATGAAGTATGTGGAGATTAATGTCAGGGCTGATGTGTGACAGATGAACTGAATGGGAAAGCAAGATCTGCTACGATGTACAGTCTGGAGAGAGTAACTTTATTAAAGGAAAAAACGGCTGAGCTGGAGGAGGGAAAAATGTATTTATTTATTTTTTAAATTTTTAAACAGGAAAAGATTAAAAGAAATCGGGCCTGGCTCAGCATTTTTGCTGTTTTACAGCAGGTTCCTGTTCTGCATAATGTAAAAAAAAAAAACACACAGCTATCCAACATCACATCACATTAATAAACACACAGACATACTAGATTACAAAATACAAGAATGGCAGCATTAATATGGCAGACACCTAACAGTGATTGCAAAAGAAGGTGTCCAACAGATGACGCACAATGACAAAATGACAATGTTGAGATTTTCATTGGGATTGACCAGCCTGGACAGGACTAGAATTGATCAGGTTAAAATAAAACTAAAGAGGCAGTGGCTGAGATGTCTAAAAAAAGTTAAATCTGGTCCTCTGGACATTCAAAAAAAACAAAACAAAACAAAAAAATTGTAGAAAAGTTTCGTCTTTCATCCGAAAGACTTGTAGTGGTGTCAAGGTCAGCTTTCTGACCCTCCCCTACTAATTATTTAAATATAACGGGTTCTCTCTTTTTCGAGTTAAATTTCAGCCATGTGACGAGGTAAATGTGAGTGGAGTGTTTAAATCAGTGACATGAGACGTCAATTTCCTTTGACCCATCAGAATAAATGTGGTCATTTATTTAACAGAATCAAAATTTAACATCAAAACATGTACACGTGATTAGCTGATCTGGTTCTGATTAATAAAACTTGGCACGCTTTACTAATAAGACAACAAGACATTTCTGAAGGCATCTAGATTACTGGCAAAATAGAAGAGTTTTAAGGAAGGATGGGTGAAGAGAAAGATTGGTGAAGGGGAGGTGTCTGTTAGGACCAGAATTAGCACGCTTCTTTCAACACCAGCTCAAACCTCCGGTACACTTAGTGCGCGACAACTCGTGACGCCTCTTTACCTTTGCAGATGATGGATCAGCTCCGGTCTAGATGTCCCTATGCACGCTACCTTTCAGCATCTCCGGTAAGAGCGGCTGGCCATCGTCAGAAGTTGTGTGGTTTACTCCGTTAAACAGAACCAGCTCCCTTCAAGGTTGTAGGGCATTATGCCCGGGTGAGTTCACAGCGAGGCTGTGGATCCGTCAGAGTTTCCACTCAGGAAAGGAAGACTCCATCAAAGACTGAGTTCAACTCAGTAGACTACAAAGACCCCAACTCGACTAAAGACTGAGTAGTTCCAGGAAGTGTGGACTCTTAAAGAGTTCTCATTTCTGGTCACTCAGGACTTCCTGATTGGTTGAAACAACCAACAGGGGGTAGTTCTAGTGATGTCAGAGGGTTATTACAAGTCAAGAGGACAGCAGGAATGTTTAGAAACGTTAAGTACAGACAGAGAAATGTTTTGAAGAAGTGAGAACAAGCAGGTGCCAGTGTTTCTCTTTTCACCGTCGGCTAGGTTTAAAACCAATACACTTCGTTCTAAGAACTTCTTCCTGACTGTCTCTGACTTTTGACCGACATCACTACTTCTCCTTTAGACAGAAAATCAAAATACATAATTACTTTGTAAATAGACATTTAACTTGATTTTCTAGTTTAAATGAGGTGTAAAAATCATTAATACTGTTTAACAGTTGATTTAAAATGAGTGGTTCACTCCAACATTTAGAAATGGTATGAACTAAACACACTTTTGATTATCAAGATATTGTAAAATAGTAATGATAATATAAAAGAAGAGTGTTCTTTCAATTGATTACTTCAGGATACAATTAGACAAATGAGCTAATTTGTATTTCTGGATCCAAATCAATGAAATAACAGTTCCTGTCCCATGAAGGTCTTCAGAGACAGGTTTTGGTCGGAGGCCGAGTTCACTACAGACTTCTTCAGTCTGAGGTGCTGTATTCAACTCAGTCTTATAAATACAAACTTCTCGTAGTGGATCAACCATTTTGCTGCTGACAGCCAAAACCAGCTGCTCACATGATTAAGAAGGACCATCAGCCTAACAGTAGATCATTAGCACCCTGATGGCTCTTTGCTATTCACAGTGGGCTGAGTGATACTAGCAATAACAGCATTGTAAGAGGGGGACAGTTGAACACGGAGGCCTCCACCCCTGTTTAATGATGGACAATTTCTTTTCACAAAGATGGCCTCCTTTACTCCTCTCTCAAACCATCGTTCCTCTCTATCAAGGATGTGAACATCTTCAACCCTGAAAGAGTGACCGCTGGCCTGGAGATGAGTGTAGACCGCAGAGTCCTGGCCTGATGATGTTGATCTTCATGGTGGGTTTGAATCCACCAGCAGTCACATGCTGAAGTGTCCCTGGGCAAAACACTGAACCCCTCATAGCCTTCGATGTGTGTCCCATCGGTGTTAGAATGTGATAAAGCACTGATTATTCTCTTTAGAATGATTTGTTCAATTAGCTTTGTAGAGATCTAGTAGAGTGCTGTATGAATGGGTAAATGAGGACACAGATTGTAGTGTGAAGCACTTTGAGTATGTAGTGAGAGAGCGAGAGATGGATTTAGCTCAGGGGTGCTCTCTTACATTTTATAATATCTGGACTAGTTCAAGTACCTGATATTTAAACGGATTCTTTCATTTTTCTGGACTAAGTGATCTTGTGCTTATTTGAAGTACTGTGCGTGAGACGTTAATTTTCTTTGACCCATCAAAATGAATGTGGTCATTTATTAACAGAATCAAAATTTAACATCAAACATTGTACACTTGATTATTCTGATTGAACGCAATAACACAGCTTAATTAATGAGCTTTACAATGAGAAATCATACGGCCATGATTTCTCACTTGCAGCTTATTACAACAGACATATCCTTAGATCTTAAATCAATATCTGCAGACTTTTAGCTTATCTTTTACTGGCAAGATAGAAGCGTTTTAAAGATGGGAAATGAAGGAGTTTAAATGGAGAGGAAAAAGATGGATGAGGATGTATGTCTGTAGACCAGAACAACACGCTCCTTTCAAGCGCAGTTTGCCTGCGGTACACTGGTAGTGAAGCTCATGACGACTCTTTACCTTTGGCGGAGGATGAATCCGCGGCGGTCAAGAGGTCCCTGGTACGCTACCTTTCAGCGTCTCCTCAGGGCGGCTGCGACTCGGCAGAAGTCGTGAGAACTCGTTCCACAGAACAAACCTCCTCAGAAGTTATAAGCTTTCACCGAGTGGAGCCACAGCGAGGCATTGTGGCTCCTACAGGAACTCTAGCCGAACTTCATCAGTACCAGAAGAACTTAGCGGGACTCTGAGAAGACTCAGAGGAACTCAGAACTTCTGTTCTCTCTCGGAACTTCGGTTCATGTCTCCCAGAACTTCTGTTCTCCTGTGCTCCCAGAACTTTGGTTCAAGTGTAGAACTCCGAACTCGCTGGAACTAGGAAGTGTCGACTTTTAAAGAGTTCTGTTTCCGGTCCCATTTGGGAAGTACTGATTGGTTGAAAGAACCAACAGGGGTGTAGTTTTAGTGACGCAAGAGGGTTACTACAAGTCAGAAAAACAGCGGAGATGATTTAGGAACAGACAGAGAAATATTTAGGAGCAGACAGAGACATGTTTTGGCGAAATGACAGACCCCAGGTGCCAGCTTCTCTGTTTCTGTCTGAGAGGTTTTAAAAACATGACAGTTCGTTCCAATAAACTTGTTTGCGACTGTCTCCGACTTTTGACCGACATCACTCCTTCTCATTTCAGACAGAAGATCAAAAAATGCACTTTGTAACAGACATCTAACTTGATTTCTACTTTGAATGAGGACTAAAAATCATTAATACTGTTTCACAGTTGATTTAAAATGAGTAGTTCACTTCAACATTTAAAATGGTTTGAACTAAACACACTTTTGATTATCAAGACATTTGTGAAAATAGTAATGACAATATAGAAAGAGAGTGTTCTTTCAATTGATTAGTGCAGGACAAACTTAGAAAGTCTCTGGATGAGCTTAATTTGTATTTCTGGACTCAAATCAGTGAAATAACAGTTCCTGTCCCATGAAGGTCCTCAGGGTCAGGTTTTGACCTGAGGCTTAGTTCACTACAAGTATCTTGAAATAAGATAGAAAGGCGCTATATAAGTACAGTCCATTTACATTTTCCATTTATGTCGGGGAAGCAAAACGGGTCGGTGAGCGACACAACATCTCTACTAGAAACATTGAAAGAACTCAAAATGATCTGTATTACCTTTAGCTCAATCAGGGAGTGCAGTAACATCTCCACCATCATTAAAACCTGTCACAGATCCATTTTGGGTGCTCCGGTTTGTTTATATTCATCCCGGAAGTAAACCGGAAGTAGCACGTCTTCTGTGTTTTTTTAAAGAGAGTTTACCACTCTGCACATGTCAGTACTTCTGTTCAGAATAAAAGCCCGCTGCATGTAACCGCTCATTGTGAATGGATTGTGCCCATGTAAATGATACATTTGAATTATCTGTAAACATTTCAATCCAGTCAAAGAATTTTGCGCATGTAAACATAGTTACTGCTACAGTCTTTTTCTGAGCAGTGATGCTTCTCATCCCGTTCCAGACCTTTCTGGTGTTATTTCTAGCCAGTTTGTTCTCCAGCTTCCTCCTGTATTACTCCTTACCCTCTCTGATCTTGTCCCTCTATCTTTATTGTCTCCTGTGGCCACCTCCATATAGTTCTCACAGTCACTGGCT